TATGATTTCAGTTGTTTTGCATTTGCTGAGGAGTGCTTTACTTCCAATTATGTGGTCAATTTTAGAGTAGATGTGATGTGGTGCTGAGAAGAATGTATATTCTGTGGATTTGGGGTGGAGAGCTCTGTAAATGTCTATCAGGTTTGCTTGTTCCAGGTCTGAGTTCAAGCCCTGGATATCCTTGTTAATTTTCTTTCTGGTTGATCTGTCTAATACTGACAGTGGAGTGTTAAAGTCTCCCACTATTATTGTGTGGGAGTCTAAGTCTCTTTGTAAGTCGTTAAGAACTTGCCTTATATATCTGGGTGCTCCTGTATTGGGTCCATATATATTTAGGATCGTTAGCTCCTCTTGTTATTTCGATCCTTTTACCATTATGTAACAACCTTCTTTGTCTCTTTTGATCTTTGTTGCCTTAAAATCAATTTTATCAGAGATGAGAATTGCAACTCCTGCTTTATTTTGCTGTCCATTTGCTTGGTAAATCTTCCTCCATCCCCTTATTTTGAGCCTTTGTGTATCCTTGCCTGTGAGATGGGTTTCCTGGATACAGCACACCGATGGGTTTTGGTTTTTTATCCAATTTGCCAGTCTGTGTCTTTTGATTGGTGCATTTAGCCCATTTACATTTAGGATTAATATTGGTATGTGTGAATGTGATACTGCCATTTTGATGCTAGCTGGCTGTTTTGCCCATTAATTGATGCAGATTCTTCATTTTGTTGATGCTCTGTAGCATTTGGTATGTTTTTTGAATGGCTGGTACTAGTTGTGCCTTTCTATGTGTAGTGCCTCTTTCAGGAGCTCTTGTAAAGCAGGCCTGGTGGTGACAATATCTCTGAGTACTTGCTTGTTCTCAAAGGATTTTATTTTCCTTCACTTATGAAGCTCAGTTTGGCTGGATATGAAATTCTGGGTTGAAGTTCTTTTCTTTAAGGATGTTGAATACCGGCCCCCACTCTCTCCTGGCTTGTAGCGTTTCTGCCAAGAGATCTGCTATGAGTCTGATGGGCTTCCCTTTGTGGGTGACCCGACCTTTCTCTCTGGCTGTCCTTAGTATTTTCTCCTTCATTTCAACCCTGGTGAATCTGACGATTATGTGCCTTGGGGTTGCTCTTCTTGCGGAATATCTTTGTGGTGTTCTCTGTTTTTCCTGGACTTGACTGTTGGCCTGCCTTGCTAGGTTGGGGAAATTTTCCTGAATAATATCCTGAAGAGTATTTTCCAGCTTGGATTCATTCTCTTTGTCACATTCTGGTACACCTATCAAACGTAGGTTAGGTCTCTTCACATAGTCCCACATTTCTTGGAGACTTTGTTCATTCCTTTTTGCGCTTTTTTCTCTAATCTTGGGTTTCTCATTTTATTTCATTGAGTTGATCTTCGACTTCTGATACCCTTTCTTCTGCATGGTCTATTCGGCTGTTGAAACTTGTGCATGCTTCACAAAGTTCTCATGTTGTGTTTTTCAGCTCCTTCAATTCATTCATATTCCTCTCTAAGTTGTCCATTCTCGTTATCATTTCCTCAAATCTTTTTTCAAGGTTCTTAGTTTCTTTGCATTGATTTAGAACATGTTCTTTTAGCTCACGGAAGTTTCTCATTACCCACCTTCTGAAGTCTGATTCCGTCATTTCATCACACTCATTCTCTGTCCAGCTTTGTTCCCTTGCTGGTGAGGAGTTTTAGTCCTTTGTAGGAGGCGAGGTGTTTTGGTTTCGGGTGTTTTCCTCCTTTTTGTGCTGGTTTCTTCCCATCTTTGTGGGTTTATTCACCTGTTGTTTGAGTAGTTGCTGACTTTTTGATTGGGTCTCTGAGTGGGCGCCCAGATTGTTGATGATAAAGTATTTCTGTTACTTAGTTTTCCTTCTAACAGTCTAGCCCCTCTGCTGTAGGACTTCTGAGGTCCACTCCAGGCCCTGCTTGTCTGGGGTACACCTGTAGCAGCTGCGGAACAGTAAGGGGTGCTACCAGTTTCTTCTTCTGCTATCTTTGTCCCAGAATGATGCCCGCCAAATGTCAGTCTGATCAGTCCTTTTTGAGGTGACTCTTTGGATATACAGGTGTCAGGGAGCTGCTTGAGGAGGCGGTCTGTACTTTATAGGAGTTCAAGTGCTGAGCCATGAGCTCCGTTGATCATTCAGGGCGGTTAGGCCAGTACGTTTAAGTCTGCTGCAGCACAACTCATAAAACCCCTTTTTTCCTCAGATGCTCTATTTCAGGGAGTTAGAGCTTTCTTTGTGAGTATCCATTGCACCTTCCTGCCCAGCTAGGAGGCAGTCTAGTCACTATTTGCCTGTCAAGGCTCCGCCGTGCTGCCGCGGGCTCCACCCTGTTGGCGGAGTCTCTCTGTTAGGGCGGGTTGCCTGAGCAATGGCAGGCTGGTCAGCAATGGGAGTGTACCTCAGTAGGGGCGGTATGCCTCAGTAATGGCGGACGCCCCTCCCCCACCGAGCTGCACCGTCCTGAGCTGCACCGTCCTGGGTTCGGCTGTGCCTGCAGTGAAACTCTCAACCCCTAGCGTTTCGAATCACCGTTTTGTTTGTCCCTGTGGGGGTGGGACCCACCGAGCCTGATCACCTGGCTCCCTGCCTCAGAGCCCTCTTTTTTTTTTTTTTTTTTTTTTTTTAAGTTTAACGGTAGACTCTCTCCCAGGTGTTTCAGTCGGCTGCTGATATGGCACCAGGATCTGTGTGATTTCCCATGCAGCTACCCACTGCGCCAGCTCAAACGTCTCTTCCCAGTAATCTCCTGGTCTGGCTCACCATCCAAGTCCCATTTAATCGGATGGATGTGCTAATCTGCCCTCCCAAATCTCAGATTGCCGGTTTAACAGGGCATCCAGACCGGTGCGTTCTGTGCGGAGTGCCGCTGAGCTGCGGCGCCGGCCGAAATAGGCCACGCAGTCTTAACAGCTGCGCTGGCGCTGGCGTCCCATGTCTCTCCTACACCTGGGAATTTCCCCGTTCTGTGGGCAACAAAGATCCGTCTGGAAATGCGGATTGAACTCACCCTCTGCATCTTCACTGAGAGCTGCAATCCTGATTTGCTCCTACTGCGCCATCTTGGCAGTCCCCCCCCTTGTGTCTATATTTATAAGTGGAATCGTACAAGAAATCCTGATTAAATCTGCTTTTATTCTATCTTTCCATGCAAACAAATATAAACTAATGTAATAACTAATATAACTGTAAAGTATTTCACTATCTGAATCTCAACCAGTCCTAAAATGCAAGAATTACATACAGTTAAGATATTTTGGGTTGCAATTAAAAGTCTCTAAAAACAATAAGAAACTTAATTATGTAGCATAACAAGAAACCATGAGATGGGACAATTTCAGAATTAGTTTATTCTGAAATTAACTAATGCCTTAACCATGTTGTTAGGAACCCAAGTATTTTTGTGGTTGTTTCCCCAGGTTACAGCTCTGCCACACATAGTGGACAGCTTTGTCCTCTTAGGCTGGTTTTCCTTGCAGTCACAAAACGTCATCAGAAGTTCCAGGAGTCACAGGCAAAGGAGATGTTCATGGCTTATTTCTTTTTATAAGCTAGGGAAACCTCTCCAGAACCCACCTTCACTCATCCCCCATAAACACTTTCCCACATATTGTATTGATCAGAACAGCATCCCATGCCTGTGGCTAACCAATCATTTGGTAAGGGAAATAAGATCACTCTGATGACTTTAGACCAGTGAAGATTTGCCGCTTGAGGCTAGGTAGATGCCAGTCACAAAGGACATGCACACTTAGAGAGGAGTAAACAAATCAGGGTTCAATCGGCAAGAAAGAAATGGGGTTAGAGGATGACTGTTAGGTCAGCAGCCAACAGCTCCTCACAGTAGGACATTTAGATTTTGTTTATCCAGTTACTTTCCAATTTCTACATGCTTGCAGTTTATAATCATAGTAATATCTGATACTGCTGAGTGTTTTTTTTTAGTGCTGGTACTAGGGAGATGCTTTATATAAATCCTCATTTAATCCTGACAACCATCCTGTAAAATATATGTTATTATGCCCATTTTATTTGTGAGGGAATTGAGGTTCAATGAGGTTAAGTATCTTGCCCAGGATAAAAACCAAAAACAAACACCTAGGAGGAGGAGGGGCTTGCCTGGTTGTCTCCTGCACACTAGAAGAACTTGTACTTACCAGGCAGAGAGGTCCCTTCCAGAGCGCTTCCTCAACAAGTGAGCATCAGGCCAGGTCTCTGTATCCTGACAAGAGGGGAAACTCACCAAGGAAAGGATTGGTCAGGACTCTGTGGCTGCTGCTGTGGTAAAACTAATATAAATGGTTACTATTGCTTTATTGTGAATTTCTGTTTACACACTTGTATTTCCAATGTAATGGCCACAGCTCTTTAAGGGCAGGTGCTTCATCTTTGAGCTGCCTATACCAGTTAGTAGAGCTGACTTACCAAACACTTATCAAGTGAGTGAATGAAGTTGTAGTCCTAGACTATTTAATACCTTACTGAATGACGGAGGCTGACTCTTTTGCTTTTAAGGGCCCGCCTTTTCTTACATGGGAAATAAATTGCCTGATTATACAAAAGTGAAGTGTCACTGCCAGCCTAAACAAGACAACTGTGGAACAAAGAGCCACAAACAATAGTAGCCAAGCATGTATCTTGGAGGCTCCCACATTCAGCACTTCCAGTTGCGATCTCACATCCCATGCTGTTGCCTTCACGGATCATGGAGTGGGGATTGGCTTCTGTGGGCCAGCTCAGGACTTGCTCCCTCACTGAAGGTTCCAGAAAAGGGCACAGTGCTTTTTTTTTAGGTGATGGCTTTCACACACAAGTGGGCTGTGTACGTGCTGAATTATGTTGCCACTCCTGAAATGATTTTTATTTTCTCTGGAGACTTACCATCCCCTATAGTGATTTACTATGAAGGCAAAACCTTGGCATTATTTAGTTTTATAATTGTTGAATTTTAATGCTCATATGAAATGTCTGTGACAAGTTTCCCATTTTTATCCCCAGTCTTCTATCAATGATGCTGCTGAATTCAAAGTTGTTGCTGATGCCATGAAAGTCATTGGCTTCAAACCTGAGGAGATCCAAACAGTGTATAAGATTTTGGCTGCCATTCTGCACTTGGTGAGTAGGGACACCTCTCAAAATATATTGTCTTCTGGTGGGAACAGGATGCTTTCTCAGAAGATTTTGTTTTGTGTTTTCCCTGTAGATTTAAAAAGTATTCAGAGAAAAATTTCTACATGTTTTGAAGAAATTACTGTGTCTGTGGTTCTTGCTATCAGGTTATAATGTTATGAGGGATTTTCCAAGCCACTATAGGATTGAAGGCTACAACTTCAGTTAATTGTCCTACTGGTATTGTCAAACTTTGAACTGGTTAATCTTAAGGATAAAAGAATTCAGTAGCAATGTGACTACTAGTGGTATAAATTTCTAGTGGCATTTGAAACACAGAATCATAGGTTATCAGAACTGTATTTTTGATCATCTCATTTTACAGGTTGGGAACTGACCCTGATGGGTGGCCTGACTGCCTCAAAGGCACAGCCAGCTCATCCCAGAGCCAGGACCATTGACCACGTTGGCAGACTCATGGGCTACTTGTTGCCCACTATACCACACTGAACTTAGATGTGAAGAACTGTTTGTCAGATTTGTTCTGTAACCATTTATGTAATTAGAGATATTTAAAATACACTAAACATATACTCTTACAATATAAGTGACAACATGGATTCAAATCTGGAATAAAAATTACCTTTCACTTAATATAGCAAGATTTAACTCTAAATGAATCAGGAATGTGCAGGATCTATATGAAAAATGTTATATAGCAATATAAACAATAAATGTTCCTGATTAGGAAGACTTTAGTATTATAAACTGTCTTATCTGTTTGTAGTTTTTAAATACAGTGTAGCAATCTTTAAATACAGTGTAGCAATCCCTTTCAGAATCCAAACAGGAATTTTATTTTGTTTTTAACTTGATCTATTGATTATAGAATTTACCTGGAAAAAGATCAAATAAAATATGTGAAAGAAGCATCGTGTAGAGTAAGGTGAGGGAGGAGAGGGAACATGATAAGTTCTACAAAACTTAAAATGATAGTAAAAGCTATAGTACTTTATAACTTTTTGTACATATTCAGCACCAGATCAACAGATGAATCAACTGATTAGTTAATGTGCTGGGCATTTGGTAGATGGTTAATAAGTATTTATTGCTTATTGAATGAGTGGAATACAAATAGACTCAAACACTTGAGGAAATTAAACATATTTAAAAGGTGACATTTCAGCTGGACAGGGTTGCTCACACCTGTAATCCCAGCACTCTGGAAGTTTTGAGGTGAACCGATTACTTGAGCCCAGGAATTCAAGACCAGCCCGGGCAACATGGCAAAACCCCATCTATAAAAAAATACAAAAGTTAGCTGAGCATGGTGGCACACATCTGTAGTCCCAGCTATTTAGAGGGGCTGGGGTGGAAGGATTGCTTGAGTCTGGGACATTGAGGCTGCAGTGAGCTGTGATACACCACTGCATTCCAGCCTTGGTGACAGACCCTTTCTCAAAAAAAAAGATGACATTTCAAATCAGAAAAAGCTAGGTTATTCAATAAATCCTGTTGGAGCAACTAACCATGCGAAAAATGAAGTTAGATTCTTACTTGACATCATATACCAAAATAAATTGTGGATGGATTAAAAAGTTAAAAAAAAAACTATAAAAGCATTAGAAGAAAACTTCAAATGCTCATAAACCCTTTGGAGTAGGAATGGTCTAAGCTGACACCAAAGAAAGAGAGACCTAAGGCAAAAGATTCATAGATTTGATTACTTTAAAATGTAAAACTTCTATCTATCAAAAACATACACTGAAAGTGAAAAGATAGATGAATGTCTGGAGAAGGGAAAAAAGTAGATGAAATACTCTGTTTTTACATGTTGAGATGTATAATGTATTTAGGAAAATAGGTAGAAACAAGGTCACTTGAATTACATTTTACATTGGCAAATATATTCTTGACATAATGTCTCATTTTTTTTTCACTTTTGATACAGGGAAATTTACAATTTGTAGTAGATGGTGACACGCCTCTTATTGAGAATGGGAAAGTAGTATCTATCATAGCAGAATTGCTCTCCACTAAGACAGACATGGTTGAGAAAGCCCTTCTTTACCGGACCGTGGCCACAGGCCGTGACATCATCGACAAGCAGCACACAGAACAAGAGGCCAGCTACGGCAGAGATGCCTTCGCCAAGGTGAGTGTATAACTGACCCTCTGTCGCCTGGTGTTGACTGCAGTTGCAGTTTGAGTGCAATCCTGTGAGGATGTATTCAGACATTCTTAAAAGAGGGTTAAGGCTTTTAGAAACCATAATGATATTTTTTGGCCATCGAAGTGTCAATAAAACTCCCAGATGTAAGCATCACTGCCAGAAAAGGTTCTGAGAAGAGCAGAAGCTGACTGGGGGCAGCACTCATGAGGGCCTCCTGTGCATGGCCCCTTTCATGGCCTCCTGTGCTGCTTCTCTCACTCAGTAATGCGTCACCAGAGTCAACTGACTGAGCTCTGATCCATTCTTTTTTTTTTCTGTTTTACTTATTTTTAATTGACAGATAATAGTTGTATATGTTTGTGGGTACAATGGGATATTTCAGGACATGTACACATTGTGGAATGATTAGATCAGGCTAATTAGCATACCTCTTACCCCACCTACTCATCATTTATTTGTGGTGAGGACATTTAAAATTTACTCTTAGCAATTTGAAACAATATTATTAATATTGTTATTAACAGCAGTCACCATGCTTTGCAGTGGATCACCAGAAATTATTCTTCCTGTCTATCTGAAACGTCTCACACTTTCTCCATCCACCCACCTCCTCTAGCCTCTGGTAATCACCATTCTATTCTCTGCTTCTATGAGTTTGACTTTTTCAGATTCCATATAGGTGAGATTACACAGTATCTGTTTTTTTGTGCCTGGCTTATTTCACTTAGCATAATGTCCTCCAGGTCTGTGTACCAAGTCTGCAGTGATAGCACCACAATTCATTTAGCCATCTTCCTCTTAAATCATCCACTTTGCTTCCCTTTTTTGCCACTGCGAACAATGCTGTTTGTCTTTATACATCTATGCTTCCACAGTAATGCTTTTATTTCAATTGGATGGATTCCCAAGAGTGAGCTTCTCAGGTCAAAGGGTATACTTATCTTATTTTTATGTTTTGAGATGGAGTCTTGCTCTGTCATCCAGGCTGGAGTGCAGTGGCATGATCTCGGCTCACTGCAACCTCCATCTCCCAGTTCAAATGATTCTTCTGCCTCAGCCTCCCAAGTAGCTGGGATTATGGGAGTGTGCCACCATGCCCAGCTAATTTTCTGTATTTTTAGTAGAGACAAGGTTTCACCATGTTGACCAGGCTGGTCTCAAACTTCTGACCTCAGCAGTCTACCTGCATCAGCCCCCAAAGTGCTGGGATTATAGGCATGAGCCATGGTGCCTGGCTGTATATGTATTTTAAACTTTAAATTTACTGATTTTATGGCTGCACAGTAATAGTTCATTGTTAATTTCATTACTAGTATATTTGAGCATATTATATTTTTGTAGAGTGTTTAAACATAGTCTAAGAATTGCCTCAGTATATCTTTTGTACATTTTTCTTTGGAGCTGTTCTCTTTTTATTGTCAATTTCCAAGTGTTCTTAGTATATCATATTTAACCCTTTGTTTATTGTCTGTGTAGCAAGTGTTGTATTTTCTCACATCTAACTTGTTTTGCTGGTTGATTAGATTGCTGTCTATTCTGTTATTTATATTTGTAAGTCTTAGGCTTGGTTTTTAATCTTGGGAGAATATGAAATTTTCCTAAGTGCAGTGGAAAGCAATAGGGAGGATTTTAAGGAGGGGCAATGACATCAAGTTTGCTTTTTTTTTCCTGAGTCGCGCAGGCTAGAGTGCAGTGGTGCAAACTTAGCTCACTGCGACCTCCACCTCCCAGGATCAAGCAATTTTCCCACCTCAGCCTCCTGAGTAGCTGGGATTACAGGCACCCACCACCATGCCTGGCTGATTTTTTGTATTTTTAGTAGAAACAGGGTCTCATCATGTTGGTCAGGCTGGTCTCAAACTCCTGGCCTCAGGTGATCTGCCCACCTCAGCCTCCCAAAATGTTAGGATTGCAAGCATGAGCCACCATACCAGGCAAGTTTGCATTTTCTAAATGATCACTCTGGCCTTAGTATGGAGAATGTTATGGAGGCTAGAGTAAGAATGGAAGCAAAGAGGCCAATTAAGGGGATATTTTTTTAATCCAGGAAAGAGATGAGGGCAGCTTGGACTGGAAAGGTGGAAGTACAAATGGGGAGAGGAGGGGGATTTGAGATGGACTGTGTTGAAAAAATAAAATTTATAGGACCTATTGCATGAGGAATGAGAAAAGCAAGGATAATACTTCAACATGGTCTGGCTCCAGCCTGCCTCTCCCACCTCATTTCATACCATATCCCCCTCCTTTTCTTCATCCCATTAGTCTTCTCTCAGTCCTCACAGATTATCCTGATCCCTTTCTCCTTCCAGTCACAGGACCTGTATATATCTTGTCCCTCTGCTTGGACTGCTCTTCTCTCCTCTCTTAACCTGGTTACCTCTTACTCGTCCTTCTGATCTCAAGTTAAGCATCCCTTTCCCAGAGAAGCCTTCCCTATCATCCCTGTGCACTGCATAGATTAAATTCCCCTAAGATCCCATGTACCTCTCCTTTAGTGTGGATATGTATTTGTGAGGTGAGGGGCAAATGAGAGAGACAGAATAATTTTTTCCTTCACTCTATTTCCTAAATTTCTTGGAGATTGAGACCATGTTTGTGTTTGCCTAGACCTGTATCTCTAACAAACTATATATAATAAATATTCAAATATTTTTTAAATAAATGAGTGAATTTCTAAGTGGTGCTATTTATTTGTGGCTAAAAGAAGGATAGAAAAAGTTGTTGGAGGAGGAAAGATCAGGAGTCCTTTGAGTTTGAGATGGCTGTGAGACATTGAAGAGTCAGAGTCAGGTAGACTCTATGAGTTAGGAGCTCAGAGACTATTCTCTGGGTCTGGGTTGGGATAATACTTTTAGGAGTCATATTATATTTGTATTATTTAATACTGGATGAGATGATTTAGAAGGTGCTAGAGAGAAGAGGACCAGGAAGGACTCTAACTTTTAGAAGTCAGGTAGAGGAGGAGACTCTACCAAAGGTTACTAAAAAGGAACATCCAGTGAACAAAGAGTAAAATTTAGAAAGACTGTTAGCCCAAATTCAGAGAGAAGAGTGTTCCAAGAAGGCAGTGGAAACCTAGGTTGAGTGATGCTGAACGACAGAGTAAGATGTCCATATGAGGTACAAGACAGTGTCTATGTGGAGGTGCTGCGAGTCTTTGGTGAGCTATTTCAATGGAGTAATAGGATGTAAGTGGAGACTGGAGTGGATTGAAGAGTAAAGGGAAGGTAAAGAATGGAGGTAATGAATATGGGTGAAGAGAGTGGGTAGCTGGAAGGTTTTCTAACAATTCGACATTGCAGAGCACGTGTGTATTGGGATGTGAGTGTAAGCATGTGGCACCTTTGTCCATGTGTGGTTTGGTGTGTGTGTCTTGTGCATTGGATGTGTGTTTGATTCTCAACCCATGGTCTTTGGCTCAGATCTCCATTTAGCATTAGAAATCAATATTTATACTTTTAGAATTCATTTAGCTTTAGTGGATCACAGATGTTAACTCACTAGCTCGCAATTCTTTATAGTTGATTAAATTAACAGTTAAGCAATGAACTGGCTTATTCAAGGGATCAGGCAAAGTATTGATCGACCCAGGCAGGGAAACATGTCATTGGAATTAGTGTTATGACCAGTAAAAATCTTTTAAAAATACAAGCTATTTACTTTTGCGTACATCATGTAGTTTTTGCTGTTGTTGTTGTTTTACGGACAGTCTACATTTTCAATTGTTCTGCTGAGGCTATGCTAAACAGTGAAAAGGTAGGACAGGAACTCATTCCCAAATGGGCAAGCATTTATAATGCTATTTTCCTTGCAGGCAATATATGAGCGCCTTTTTTGTTGGATTGTGACTCGCATCAATGATGTTATTGAGGTCAAGAACTATGACACCACAATCCATGGGAAAAACACTGTTATTGGTGTCTTGGATATCTATGGCTTTGAAATCTTTGACAACAACAGGTAAATGGGAAAAGATACTTAAAACCCTGTGGCTTGTTATCTATTTGTTGAAACCTAATTTATTCCATTTCTTGTAGTTTTGAACAATTCTGCATCAATTACTGCAATGAGAAACTGCAGCAGCTATTTATTCAGCTGGTTCTGAAGCAAGAACAAGAGGAATACCAGCGGGAAGGGATTCCCTGGAAACATGTGAGTGAACACTTACAGGAAATGCCTTCCTGTGTTTCACATAGTATTGATAACGTCAAATCTTATTTTAGGTATTTCTTGATCTTTTGTGGGTATTTGAAACCTCTGAACCTTAGCCTTCCTTTTTGAGATATGTAAATACAGTTAAATTCATGGTTTTTAGGTAGGATTGCTGTAATTCGATAGACTCCCTTGTTAGTGTCCAGCACATGTAAACCTGTTTTCACTTTATGGTTGATACTGCATGGGCTTTCAGGTTCATATCTGTCTACTAGAGTTTAGCATACTTAATTAACCTTTAACTTAAATTGGCTGAACTTTGCTTCAGAATCTAATTTTTTCTTCACCTTTTGTGTAAACTATATGGTATTTTATTGTCTTCAGTTAATGTTGTTCATATTCTCTGAAACCTGCGCATTAAAACACTTGTGTTACTTTCATCTCCGTTACATTCTTGTGTATTACACTTCCGTTCTTATGTATCACACTTCGATCATCACCTCTACTCTCATGAATCTTTGTGAACTTTCGTATTTGTCAGAGGCAAACTAATCTGGTAAGATATATCTGGAAAGTATAATGGGCTCAGGGTGCTAACCACAGAGTTCATAGCTAAAAGGCATGACTTGTTTGGTTTTTAAATTTCATGTGGTTAGACCTCCTGCTTATAATAGAAAATCAGACAGAGTAATTTTTCTTAGAAGTTTGTATTTTTAAGCAATTTTGAGAAAAAACTTGAAAAACACAAAAACTTTTGAGTTTCTATAGTTTGAGTTTATAAAATTGTTCATCCTCTTGCCAGATAATTAAAATAAAGCCAATATTTGTTTTTTGTTATCCAATATAATAGCAGCAAAAATTATTTGAATTACTTTATTTAAATGACTTATCTTCCTTCCTACCTTACTATTTTGTATTTCCTATCATTCTGAAATAAAGAGACAATGATATAAAAAATAGCTTTCCTGCCTTAAATTGTATCTTTGCCTTCCATCGTGTGTTAAACATTAGAATATCATTAAAATGTTGCTCAAGTATATTGGCATAAATTTTACCTATTTACAAATAAACCAAAGAATTACTTTATATAAGAATTATCTATAGTTTGATTTAAATAGTGAACTCTCATAATACAATTAAAATGTAATTCAATTCAATTAAGTTTATATGAAGCTTTCTAAGAAAGAATCTGTTGAATAATACACAGTATAACTGAAGCTTGGATTTTTAAAAGGAAATTTAATCATGAAACTTGTTATTCAGATGTGATTCCAAGGTACTAGTCAAAAATATCCTTTAACAATCAGAATATCAAATTTCACAGGCATAATTGACCACAGGGTAAGTATTGCAGTAGACTATTCCAAACATCTCAAAAAGAATCAAGAATTCTAAAATGCAAAAGCTTTTAGCTAAATAAACCAAGAAATAGTTGTCCTAGAGGGAGCAGAAGGCTAACCCCAAGATAACAGTTACTACATGCCAGAACCCCCCACAATTAAAATCTCTATTCTGGGTAAAACCCCAAACTTCTAAACATAGTGATTCTTTTTAAAAGATTTTTTATTATGGAAAATTTTAAACACACATTAAAAAGAGAGACTATTGTACAGTAAACCCTATACACCCATCACCTAGCTTTAACACTTACCAGTAAATTGCCAATCTTGTGTCATCTGTACCATACCCACCTGCTCCCAGATTATTTTGAAGCAAATTTCAGATGTCACATTATTTCATCTATTCAATTGGATATCTATTCAGTAAATATTTCCATGTATTTCTCTAAAAGACAGAGTTTTACAAAAACCATAACCATAATACCATTATCACATCTAAAACATTAACATAAATTCCTTAATATCATAAAATATCCAGTCAGTATTCATATTTCATATTTCCTCAATTGTCTTCTCGTTGTTGTTTTGCAGTTTGAATTTGGATCCAAATGAGTTTCTTACATTGTGATTGATTGATAGGTCTCTTGCATATCTGTAGATTTTCTCCTTCATCTTTCTTTTTTTCTTTGCAATCTTTTGTGGAAGAGAATGATCTCTCTTTGCAACCTTGTGTTGAAGAGAATGAGTCATTTGTTCTGTGGAGTCTGGATATTGCTAATTGTATTCCTCAGGTGCCATTTAATAAGTTTCTGTTTCATGTATGTCCTGTAGATCTAGAATCTTGACTGGATTCGGGATCAGTTTTTTTCCACAGCCCATTTCATAGACCGTGTGAACTTCCACCGGAAGGTTCATAATACCTGGTTATCTCTCTGATACATTCACTTTTGCAAGCTTTTGATGCTGTAGTTTGCTAATCATTTTAGCTACTGAGAACCTGACACTCAAGCACAAAGCTTTTGTATTTGTAGTGGGAATGAGAGGCCAGAGCCTCATGTCCCTAAGCTACCCCATCACAGTTCTTCTGGTTCCCTGTATCCCTTAGGAAACCTCATGGAAATGCCAAGTTGCTGGAAGAATTTAGTTTGAAAACCACTGGTTTAAGCAATGTTTGAAGCAGTATGAAACTTATAAACTAAAAGTTACCAGAATCTTTAGCAAAGACCAACAGCTTTTAGTAATATAATTGGAATTTTAGGGAAGGTCATATTTCAGTCCCTGGGACAAAAGACTTGGTCTTTAGTTTCATAGTCCCAAAGGCTAAGATGCCAGCTATTAATATAGAGCTCCTGCTTTTTGAGTATTTTTAGGATTTTTTTTAAAGATGGAAATAACTTTTCTCAGTAATTAGAAATGTAATAAATACCCATAATGAGAGTAAATATTTAGACCTGCTCTGCTTCACCTGAGTACCACTGAAATTCTTCGTTGTGGAGGCTGTTCTGTGCATTGTAGGATATTTAGCAGCATCTCTGACCTCTACCCACCAAATGCCAGTAGCAGCCCTACCCCATTTTGACTAGAAATGTCTCCTGACATTGCCAGATGTTCCCTGATGGGCAAAAGTCCCCCTAATTGAGAAGCTTTAATTTAGACAAATCAGAAAAGTATTTAAAAAAAAGTAAAAACTACCCACTTTACAGGTTTCAGTCCATAAAACACAGAAGAGAACATTCAAGACTAGAAATGGAGCTAAAAGCCAGGTACAAATAACTGGCATAAACTCGTGGATTTTAAAGCATGATACGGGAATACATGAGTCACTTTAGTGGTCTATTATGAGTGTATAGACCTTAGAGAAGGTAATGGAGACAATGCCCAGTTTAGGGAACTCCTGCATAAGATGGGACATAGCAACACACAAGATTAAACTGTGTGATAATAAGCTGCCCCTCTTTGTGATGTGCAGCTTGCCTGAGTTGGGCCTGTGTGTGCCCCCTGTGCGTGGTGATAGGTGCATTGCAGGCTGTCAGAATAAACAGGTGGGCGTGGCAGAGGATTTTCCAACAAACTTGTATGTGTGTGTGTGTGTACACACACATATATATATATATATATATAGTTGCTGGAAAGCCAGAAGTTATTTATAACTTCATTCAACTTATGGAAGTAAAGGAAAAGCTTTTTCTTATCTTTTATAGACACTTATTTCTCAGAGTTAAATTATTTATATTATTCCTAGAAAAATGTCATAGTTCAGTAGAATTTTTGAATAAGCTTTTTAACTTTGGGGAAACAGAAAGAAATGCTCTTTGGGTTTTAGTCATTCAGGGTCATATAACTGAAAATGCAAGTTCTGTGTCATATCTTAACTTTTTTATCAAGTAGTAGATCAGATAATACCTTAAGGTTATTTGTTGGCCCTTTGTGGAAGGCGGACTTTATGGTTAATGGCAGGCAGATTGGTATGAAGGGGTAGGGTTGGATGTTGGATCTGGAGGCAGGATTAAAATGAATTCGTAATGGGAGAAATGGTGTCTACCTTATTATTTTTGCCTTGGACTATACTAATCTCAGACAATGTGTTTCATTATAGAAAGTTAACAAAGAAATGTAAAAATAAACCTCTGTTAGAATGTGTACTCGTTTTAATGTAAGACTTCTTTAATGTTATTCACACATTTGATACCAAAGTAGTTTTACCTAATCTCCTGATACAAATAGGGGCATCAGGATTTGACCTGGCCTGGCCACTGTTCTCTTCAGAATTGCCTCTTTGCTGTGTCCTACAGATTGACTACTTCAACAATCAGATCATTGTTGATCTTGTGGAGCAACAGCACAAAGGGATCATTGCAATCCTCGATGACGCTTGTATGAATGTCGGCAAAGTCACCGATGAAATGTTCCTTGAAGCACTTAACAGTAAATTGGGCAAACATGGTCATTTTTCCAGCCGAAAGGTAATGTGTTTAATGACACCTTCTCCCTTTTATCTGTAAAATTCTCCTTATTGTTTGATGGAGTTAAATGACTTTATATGTTGGGCTAAAAGAATGTACCCTTAAATAAGAAAGAAAAGTCACAAACCTCCATTAAATGATACATTGCTGTGGATAAATTCTGCCTCTGGTTTATAGTATGAAGAAATTGATAAAATCCTGTTAATCCAGGAGAGGGAGCTCCAGACTATACAATTTGGTAGAAATGGGAAAAATGATCATGGTTCTTTAGAAAGCATGATGTCATTTATAACCAATAGATGCTGAGTCCTTGTTCATGTGCTAGAATTTTACTCCGGCATCTGATAATTCTGGCATGGAAAATAGCTTTTGTCCTTGACTTTTTACTGTAATTCTTAGTAACAAAATGTGTTGTGTGCTCTGCCGTACTTCTTCAGACTGTATGACTTTGTTTAAAACAGAGAGATTCTAGTTGTAATTCTGGTTATTACAGAGAAACTTATTCATTAAATAAATGTCTATTCTTTTAACTCTCCATAGTAATTGGTGGCAATTGTGATTATCAGACCTTTATGCTGATATGGACATACTCGCATGGAATATGTTTGCCATTAGGATTTGTTCAAGAAATTTGTGTTAGAAGAGGAGCACATCATCATTGCCCCTGAGACTTCTCTACACATGGTCTTATCTAGCAACCATTAGCTAAAGGGAAAACAGGCCCTGCTCCTTCACATCCATAGAAAAAGGGGGGCAAACATTTCTGCCTCTCCACAGTTCTGTATAAATCTATGACACACTGCCATTTTTTAGCATGAATAAAGTCTATTTTCTAACTTTGTCTTCTTTGAAATTATGTAATCAGAACAGGGAATTTCCACACTAGCTAAAGCCCAAATCACCAAGAAATAGACTACTAGCTGATATTTATTTAAGGCCAGTTTTTTCTAAAATATTCTCCATAGTCTGTTACTGAGGATTGACTGTAACCCTGCTACAAGTTGGCTTTTAGATATTACAGTCTGCTTTTTCATATTAGGGTTCTGGGTTACAGGTACTCCTTCAGTCATTCCCCATTTGCACCACAAATACCTAAGAAGTGCCTCTCATCTTCCAGATAATCCTAGGTACTGGGGACAGAGCACTGCAAAGTTAGAAGTCACCTAAATAATTTAGAGTGATACTTTTAAGGATGACATGATTACGTGGGCAAATGTCCTATTTTTGAGGGATAGTTTATAAATTCCCTTTATAATCACAGCTCAGGTTTTGGAGACTCACTTAGCACTGTGCCTACCAGATGGTAGACACTCAGTCAGTGTTTGTAAACTTGAATTGTTCACAATCATATCAAATAAATTTTATTTAAATTTTCATTTAAATTAGCTATGAGTCTTACATGAGAAATCAAATCCACCTCATTTTGATATCTTCTACCTTGGCCATTTATATACATGAATTAAATGTGTCAACCAAATATTTTGAAATATAATGTCATTTTTTTTTTTTTGAGTTGGAGTCTTACTCTGTCACCTAGGCTGGAGTGCAATGGTGTAATCTTGGCTCACTTCAACCTCCACCTCCTAGATTCAAGCCATTCTCCTGCCTCAGTCTCCTGAGTACCTGGGAATACAGGCACCCGCCATTGTGCCCAGCTAATTTTTATATTTTTGTAGAGATGGAGTTTCACCATGTTGACCAGGCTGGTCTTGAACTCCGGACCTCAGGTCATCTGCCCACCTCAGCCTCCTCAAGTGCTGGGATTACAGGCTTGAGCCACCATGCCCAGCCATGTCATTCTTAAGAGTTACTATACGTATTACTTTTAAGCATTTGCTACTGATTTGACATAAAATGTTGAACAGTAGTTTATCTGTGGAGAAGTTTTTTTCCTTTTTCGAACTTGTGGGAGTCCAGGTTTCCCAACTTTCAGACCAAATAGCTCTTTCTTTTGGTATCCCCATGACAAGTACTGAGATGGTGATTATTTGTTTGTTTGTTTATATTATTTTAGATCTGGGGGGCACATGTTCAGGTTTGTTATGTGGATATACTGCACACTGCATAGTAGTAAGCTTTGGGCCTCTAGCATACCTATCACCCAAATAGTGAACATAGTACCCAACATGTAATTTTTCAACCCCCACTCCCCTGCTGTTGGAGTCCCCAGTGTCTTATTTTCTGTCTTTGTGTTCATGCATACCCATTGTTTAGCTACCACTTATAAGTGAAGACATACATTACTTCACCTAGGATAATGGCCTCTACCTCCATCCCTGTTACCACAAAGGACACGATTTCATTATTTTTTATGGCTGCATAGTATTCCTTATTTATATGTACATCACATTTTCTTTCTCTCCAGTCATTTGTTGATAGACACTTAGATTGATTCTATGACTTTGCTATTGTGAATAATGTTGTGGTAAACATACGAGTACAGATGTCTTTTTGTTATACCTAGTAGTAGAATTGCTAGGTCAAATGGTAGTACCATGTAAAAGAAATGTTTACATTTCCTTTTCTCCGCATGCATGCCATCTGTTTTTAATATTTTTAATAATAGCCATTCTGACTGGTATAAAATGATGTCCTATTATGGTTTTAATTTGTATTTCTCCGATAATTAGTGATGTCGAACATTTTTTCATATATTTGTTGGCTGTTTGTAAGTCTTCTTTTGAAAAAATACCTGTTCATGTTCTTTGCCTGCTTTTTAATGGGGTTATATGATTTTTTTTTGTTATTCAGGTATTTGAGTTCCTTGTAGATTCTGAATATTATTAGTCCTTTGTTGTAGAAATTTACTAATATTTTCTACCATTCTGTAGGTTGTATGTTCACCCTGTTGGTTATCTCTTTTGCTGTGCAGAAACTTTTTAGTTTAATTAAGTCTCAGTTGTTTTCGTTGCATTTGTTTTTGAGGCCAGTCATAAGTTCTTTGCCTATGCCAATGTCCAGACGAGTTTTCCTAGGTTTTCTTCTAGAATTTTTATAGCTTCAGGTTTTGCATTTAAGTCTTTAATTCATCTTATTTTTTGTGTATGCTGAGAGACAGGGTCCAATTTCACCCCTTGGCATATGGCTAGCTATTTTTCCCAGTACCACTTAGTGAATACAGCATCCTTTCTCCATTGTTTATTTTTGTCAGCTTTGTCAAAGATCAGTTGATTATAGGAATACAGCTTTATTTCTGGGCTCTCTGTTGTGTTCCATTGATCTATATATCTTCTTTTTTTTTTTTTTTTTTAACCAGTACCATGCTGTCTTGGTTACAGTAGCCTTCTAGTATAACTTTTAAGTCAGGGTAATGTGTTGCTTCTGGTTTTGTTCGTTTTGCTTAGAATTGCTTTGGCTATTTGGGCTCTTTTTTGGTTCTGTGTGAATTTTAGGATTGTTTTTCTAATTCTATGAAAAATGACATTGGTAATTTTATAGGAATTGCATTGAATTTGTAGATTGCTTTGGGCAGTATGGGCATTTTAATGATATTGATTCTTCCAATCCATGAGCATTGTATGTTTTTCCATTTTTTGGTGTCATCTATGACTTCTTTAATCCATGTTTTATAGTTCTGCTTGTACAGATCTTTCACTTCCCTGTTTAAATGTGTTCCTAGGGTTTTCCTTTGTGTGTATGTGTGAATATTGTAAATCGGATTGGATTCTTGATTTGGTTTTCAGCTTCAGTGTTATTGGTGGTGTATAGACATGCTTATTCATTTTTGTACATGGATTTTATATCTTGAAACTTTACTGAAGTTGCTTATCAAATCTTGGAGTCTTTTGGAAGAGTCTTAAGGATTTTCTAGGTATTAGATCAAGTTATCAGTGAACAAAAATTATTTGACTTCTGTTTTCCAGTTTGAATACCTGTTATTTCTTTGAGATAGAGATTTTTAAAATGTGTTATTCTTTGGGATTTTTACCTAATGAAGAAAAGAAATATCAAATTATCAAAATATTTTAATCACTGTAAACTCTTTCTTACATATGCTATTATTCTGTGTGTTGAGCTGGGTATCATACTTTGCTACTGGTTACTGATTAGCTAAACTTACTACCATGTTAAATTAGAGGTTTCTATCTTGTAACAGTTATTTCATTTAGGGACTACATTGTTTCTTCCACATCAAAGTTACTATGGAAAGACAGGCAAATGATCCAATAAAGCATAAAATTATTATTTAAACTATTATTAATATAAAAAGTTAAATGATAAATGCATGACTGTTATTACCAAAAAAAGTAAAGAAAAATCTAAAACCTTCTGTGTTCAGTCAGTTGTGACTTCGCAGCATCCAAATGTAAGAATGTTCCATTAGTGTAGACATCTCTTGGGTCCTTTTCCTTGAGAGGTTTTATGAAGAAAAAGGTTTTGTAAAAGGAGTTAATCAGAGAGCGAGCAGGAAAGGGGAATTAAGTATTTTGGAGACTTCTCTGTATGGTAGATGCTTTGTTCTCCATAGTTCATTTAATCCTCAGAACAACTCTCTGAGATAAGTAATTATTAAAGAAGTCAGAGTGAGTAGATGGTAGAGCCAAGGTTTGAACTTTGGAGGTCTGACTCTAATTTCCTATAATTATTCACTTGTCAAATTAATCAAACACGCCCTTCAGGTTGAGATTATTTGTTATCAAACCTTAGAACCTAAGTGGTTTTTGTATATTTCCCAGGAAAACTTTTGTGGACTCTTAGATGTCTGCTAAAGAAACCGTAAGATTCCAAGTGATTCTTCAGAGGACAGACAAAGTCTAGGTGCTCCTATAACAAGAAAGATTGTAGAAAGTCACAGAGACCTCCACAGCCATATAAAAGCTGCCTTCCCATAAACTGTTTCTCTTCAGTGAGAAAGAGCTGCCGAAGGTTTATCTTCTATGAAGCGTTAGACCTAACTGGAATCTCAGCTTAGCAGACAGATGAGCCAGGCCTCTGTGTACATAAGAGAGCACAGATGTTACATTCGATTCCAGGAGTCCTTCCCAGTACCACTTACTAGCTATGTGATCTCGGGCCAATCGCTTAACCTCTTTGAGCCTCAGTTTCCATGTGTGTAAAAGAGAGATCCTTATACCTTAGATGTCAACAGTGAGGACTGAATATGTGTGTGCCTAACAGCTTGTCAGTCTTCAGTACAGTCCTCCTTAAGTGAACTTCAAAGGAGAAAGAAACTGTATCAGTCAGGGTAGGCTGGGCTACATGAAGATAGTAGCTTAATTTTGTTTGGTTTCATTTTGTTTTTGAGAAAGAGTCTTTCTCTGTACCCAGGCTGGAGTGCAGTGCCCCGATGTTGGCTCACTGCAGTCTCTGACTTCCACGCTCAGGTGGAAGGTGATTCTCCCATCTCAGCCTCTCTAGTAGCTGGGACTACAGATACATGCCACCACGCCTGACTAATTTTAGTATTTTTCGTAGAGATGGGGTTTCCACCATGTTGCCCAAGCTGGTCTTGAACTACTGGGCTCAAGCAATCCGCCCACCTCAGGCTCCCAAAGTGCTGGGATTATAGGCCTGAGCTATCATGCCCAGCCTGTAGCCAAGATTAAAGTGTCATAAGATAGCAGAAGTAAGTCTATGTCTCTTTCAGGGACCCAAACTTCTATATTCTGACTATTCCATGCCTTAGGGACTATCCTCTGTATCCAACTACTGGGAGGAGAGAAAAAAGCACAGAGGGAGATCATTCACTTTTTACCAGTTTGGGCCTAGAACAACTACACTTTACTTCCATTGTCCAAAACTTGGTTACTTGGTCATATTCATTTGTAAGAGTGGTCAGGAAATGTAGTCTAGCTGTGTGGATTTCTAGTGAAAATTCAGTCTTGTTTTTTATATTTTTTCCCTCCCTCCCTCCTTTCTTTTTTTGTTTCTTTGTTTCTCTCTCTCTCTCTGTCTCTTTTTTATTATACTTTAAGTTCTGGGATACATGTGCAGGACGTGCAGGTTTGTTACATGGGTATACATGTGCCATGGTGGTTTGCTGCATCCATCAACCCGTCATCTACATTAGGTATTTCTCCTAATGCTATTCCTCCCCTAGACCCCCACTCCTGAAAGTTCAGTCTTTACTATTTAATACATAAGCCATATTTTAAAATCAAGCCCCACACAATGTGATATCATAATTTGTGATATTATCATAATTTCATATTAAGTTGGAATATATTTTTAGGAAAGCAAAAGTGTCTGTTTTCAAAATAATCTCCTTCTTGATTTCTTAGCTCTGTGCCTCAGACAAAATTCTGGAGTTTGATCGAGATTTTCGAATTCGACATTATGCAGGTGATGTAGTGTGAGTATCTTACATTGGTACCTACCATGATTTGCATGTCACCTCACTTTAGAAAATATAACCAGGAAAAATGTGAATTGGTTTTATATTCATTTGCATGTTTCAGTCATTTGATATGTCAACATATTTTAATTTGTTCAACTTAGAAAATGGCATAACTTCATTCATTCCTTGCTTTCAGCCATTTATTGAGCACACACTATTTGCCCATGTACAGTTCCTGGCATGGTTGGTATTCAGTAAGAATCAGCTGGTAGGTTAATAAATCATGGAAGTATATTAAGAACTGAGATAGAAAGATGGATAAGATTGTCCTTGCCCTAAAGAAGCCAACAGTTTAGTGGAGAATATAGGCAGGTACAGCCATCAAAGGTCACTATAATGAAGAATGGAAGCTGTTAAGCTAGAGAAGCATCAGGCGTTATAGGAGCAGTAAGGAGGAATAATTAACCCACAGAGAGGGGCATAGAGAGGTCTTTCTGGAGGAAGTGATATCCAAATTGAGTTCCAAAAGTAAAAGAGGGTTAGTCGGGGGAATGAATTAGGAAGAGAGGAGGGAGAAGAGAAAACTTCCCAAGTAGAAGAAATAGTAGGCATAAAAAGGCCCTTAGGTGGGAATTACTCCTATATATGAAGATCTACAAATAGTTGGATAATAGTTTTGAGATGAAGTCTCGCTCTGTTGCCCAGGCTGGAGTGAAGTAGTGCAATCTCAGCTCACTGCAACCTCCGCCTCCCAGGCCCAAGCAATTCTCCCACCTCAGCCTCCTGAGTAGCTGGAATTATAGGTGCACACCACCACACCTGGCTAATCTTTGTATTTTTAGTAGAGGCAGGGTTTCGCCATGTTGGCCAGTCTGGTCTCGAACTCCTGACCTCAAATGATCCTCCTGCCTCAGCCTCCGAAAGTGCTGGGATTATAGGCATGAGCCACCGAGCCCAGCCACTCTCTTAAAAGTGTCATTTGATATGGCATGTAGGGCCCATTCAAATAATATAGGATGAGCTTCTCCTCTCAAGATCATTAATCACGTATTTTACAATATAAGGTAACATTTCCAGGTTCCAGGGAATTTGATGTGGAAGTTTTGTTGGGGCTGCATTTCCTGGTCTACTGTATTTATTATGCCTTCACTGTCCACTGAACACTGCTCCTCATCTTATTGTTTAAAGAACTCTTTTTCTTATTTTTTACATTAAGAATTCTTTACATGTAATCCATTGTAGGAAGATATTAAACAAAAAAAAAAGTAAATGATCTTCTCTATAAATGCTGAAAAGATGTTTGAAGAAATCTTAATAGCTGTTCCTGATTTAAATTAAAATTCTGGAGCCATAAAATAATATGGCTCAAAATTATCACACCATCTGTCAAACTAACCATTAATGATAGAATGGCACCATTTTCTACTTTTTCTGGTCCCGTTCCCAGGTTCCATAATACTGAAGAGGGAAGATCCAGTACCATACAAATATCTCCCACTCAAAATCCAAGCCTCACTTACAGGGTGCTTTCATACAATTCAGAATGACAGAAATGTAGAGCTGGATAGAGGCCTTAGAGATTACTTAAACCAGCCACTTCATTTTACAGATGAAGAAACTTATGCAGAATGAGTAAAGTTTTTACTCAATGTCATGTAGCAAATTTACAGAAGAACTGAGACAATAACATTTCTAGACTCCTAGTCTAGAACTTCAACTAACATTTTTGAGGGATATTCAATGCCTTAGACTTCCTCTTCTCTCCTTAAACTCTTCAATCTTTTTCTGGATTTTTACTGACTATCTTCTATGTGCTCAATACTTCATAAGATATGGTCCCTGCTCACAAAAAGCTTGCCATGTAAGATAGATACCTACATACATGCATACATACATGTGTGATTGTATGTGTTCTTATTTATATACATGTAAACACAGATAGGTATATACACTCAGATGCATTTATATACATGTATACAATAAACTATGGTCTAAAATAATTGCCGTATGAGTAATAGCAAGTGTTGTTGGAATTTAGAATAAGGAAATACTTCCAGTATTTGTTTGATAAACCCAGGAAGGCTGATGCTGATCTTTGAATGCTAGGAATTATTTTTATAGGAAGAAGTGGGAAGGATGCTAAAAAATATTCAGGAAATAGCAACTAGGTCCATTTGATGAGAGCGTATCCTTTTTTGTAGCACAGAGAAGTAGAAATATTTGGAAGAGCAGCTCGAGATCAAATCACAAAGATTCAGTCAAAAGTGACTTGAAGATATTAAGAAGACCTAGGTCAGGGCAGACAAGGAAATAATATTGAACGTGGTAACTTTAAAGTACCCCTGGGCAGCACAGCCTGAAGGAACTTTCTTGCAGGTTAATATGTAAGGCAAGGAATCCAGGTCAGAAATCTGGAAATTGCCTACACTGATGTGATTGTCAAGGGAGAAAACAGGCACAAGAGCAGAACTGTAAGGTGGAGCTGTGTCCAAAGTTCTGATTTGCCTAATCTCCTAGCCTCTGTCTTAATCATCCAGAGTCTCCAATGACTTGTATAACCCCAACACTGAATTGACGCCTCCTAGAGTCCATGCCAGTCACTGGAGTAGTGCAGCTTCTATTCCCACTCTTCTTACCAACTACAATCTTAGCTGGCCTTTCAAGACCTTACTCATCTCTCTTCCTCCGAACCATCTCTACTAGCCTCCTCACTCTCTCTCCAGAATGCAATGCATGTGCCTGCTTTCATCATTTCATTTGATTGATCTGTTTCCCTGTGTGATCTGCCTGCCTTTTTCTCCTCTGCTTATCCAATTCTTACCATCCTTTGCAGTTCTTCTTGGATTCTTTTATCCTACCCTGAACATTGAGTGAACCTTAGGCAAATCACTTGACCTCCCTACGGATGAGACTGTTAGTTCCTGTATGTTGCTGTTTTGCTTTTATCTTAGGAATGCTGGATGATAAATACAACTATCTTTTAAAAAGTCTTCTTCTTGAGGTAAGCAATAAACCAGTAGGAAATTACCATCTTAATCATAGTAATAGTACTGATGCTTCCTCTCCTTTTGAAGAATAGAAACAAAGCTACTTCTCTTAGTAGGTAAATTTGGTATTCTTTAATACAGAACAAGGTGAACAATACCAACTTTTAGATGATTGATTGCATAATTAACAGTGGAAAGGCTTGTTGCCTCCTAGAAAAGCTTAAATGTGGCTCTTGCTTGGTGAATAATACATGTTTTCTGTGATTTTTTTCCCCTTTTAGCTATTCTGTCATTGGTTTTATTGACAAAAATAAAGATACTTTATTTCAAGATTTCAAGCGCCTTATGTATAACAGGTAAGATTGAAATTTTATTAATTAACTCTAGGTTAAGTTCATTGGCATATGTAATATATGCACCTGGTTATATTTATGTGCAATTTTAAGAGTTTCTGGCATATTTTCTAGTTCTGCTTTATCAGACCTAATACATAGCATATAACTTTATGATAAAATCTATAAACTTAGGGCAAGGACTTACTAATAAAATGATTTGCTTGCATTTCCCTTGGGTTGCTTCAGTTTCTGTGCTCACTGCTGCCAGCCCTCCAGCATTCCCTACCAGTATACTCGACAGTTCTCAGGCCAGGCCACTGTGATGAAGAAGTGTCAGGTGACATCTGGCCCAGCTAGAAGTTTGACATACTCAGATTCCCACTGTAGTGTCTTCACCCCCAAATAAGAGACCACTCTGATATCAGACTAGCATCTGGTACCAGTGAGCACTGCTAGTGACTGAGCAGACAGGATCTTCTCACAAACCATCAACATGTGGAAAAGTTGTGGCAAAATAAAACTAGGCAAATGATAACAAGTTTAAATCCAGTATGGATACTCTAAAAAGAAGGTCCATGAAGAAGAAAGAGGGTTCTTGGCCATCTTCCTATAGGTTGAAGAACTGTATTCACTCATTTATTAAATCTACTTAGTCAGTTGGTCAGTAGATTATCAAAAATGTATTGAGCACCTTGGAGCCAAACATTCTTCTGTACTGTGGGATATAGCTGTGAAAAAAATGTAGGCAAAGTCCCTGGCCTCATGGAGAGTAAAGTCTATTGAAGGTGACAGTTAATAAACAAGGAAACAACTTGCAGTTTGTGACAAGTGCTGTGCAGAAAACACAAAGTAGATAAGCAATTGAAAGGTATAGACAAGGAGCTGTGAGGAATTATAGATAGGGTAGTCAGAAAAGGCCTCTTACTAAAAGTGATGTTTCAGAAGAGACCTGAATTAAGTGAAGGAGGGAGCCATGCAGATATCTAGAGGAAGAGCATTCCAGGCAGAGAGAATAACTAGTCCCAAGTCCCCAAGGTGGGAATGAGCTTGAGTGTCTTGACAGCGAGGCCATTGTGACTGAAAACACAGTGAGGATGGAGAGAGTGACTTGAGAAGGTCCAATCCAGCCCTACCTAGGGCCTGGATTACAAAGAGCCTGAGTCCAGATAAGAACAAAGTATGAAGGGAAGTGTTGGAATTTATGATGTGATGTGATTTATGTTTTAAAGATATCACTGCTGCTACTACTATGTAAAATGCACATAGTAAAGGACAAGCATGGAAATAGACCAGTAAAGGAGGTGAGTTTACTAATGTAACCTGAGGCCTGGTGGTAGTGACAAAGATGATGAAAAGGAGAGGGTGAGTGGACGCCGCATTTCCAGACGGATCTTTATTGCCCACTGACCAGGAGATTCCAAGGTGTAGAAGCCCCACGGGCCACCAGCACGGCTGTTTGGGCCAGCACCGCAGCGCAGCAGCACTCCGTACAAAATACACTGGTTTGGTTGCCCTGTTAAACCGGCAATTGGAGATTTCGGAAGGCAGATTAGCACATTTATCTGATTAAACAGGACTTAAACAGAAAGCCAGGTCAGGAGATTCCCAGGCAGCAATGTTGTTTTAGCCGGCACAGTGGGTAACCACACGGGAAATCACACAGATCCTGGCGCCATTTCAGCAGGCCACTGGAATACCTGGGAGAGAGTCAACCGTTCAACTTAAAAAAAAAAATAGGGATCTGAGGCAGGGAGCCAGGTGATCAGGCTCGGCAGGTCCCAACCCCACAAAAACAAACAAAACAGCAATTGGAAACACTCGGGATTGAGAGTTTCACAGCAAGCACAGCTGAACCCAGGATGGTGCAGCTCGGTGGGGGAGGGGCATCCGCCATTACCAAGGCACTCGACCCCTATGGAGGTACTCTGCCATTGCTGACACAGCCTGCCATTGCTGAGGCAACCCGCCATAACAGAGTGAGTCCGCCATTACAGAGGCGGGCCACCATCACCATGGCAGTTCTAACCACACCCATATAAACAGGATTACAGGGAATTACACACGGCAGCATGGTGGAGCCCACAACAGCAGGGCAGAGCCCACGGCAGCAGTGCGGAGCCCACGGCAGTAGGGCGGAGCCCAGAGCAGCTAAGCATAGCCACTACAGGCAGGCAATGACTAGACTGCCTCCTTGCTGGGCAGGACAGTACAATGGATACTCCTAAATAAAGCCCTAACTCCCCGGGGCAAAGCACCTGAGGGAAAAAAGGGGCTTTATGAGTTCTGCTGTAGCAGACTCAAACGTACCTGCCCAGCAGCCCTGAATGAACAACAGAGCTCACAGCTCAGCATTTGAGCTCCTGTAAAGTACTGACTGTCTTCCTCAAGTATAAAGTACAGACTGTCTCCTCAAGCAGCTCCCTGACCCCATATATCGAAAGAGTTACCTCACAAAGGACTGATCAGACTGACATTTGGCAGGCATAATTCAGGGACAAAGACAGCAGAACAAGAAACTGGTAGTATCCCTCACAGTTCCGCAGCTGTTACAGCTGTTCCCCAGGCAAGCAGGGCCTGGAGTGGACCTCAGCAGTCCTACAGCAGAGGGGCGAGACTGTTAGAAGGAAAACTAAGTAACAGAAACACTTCATCGTCAACAATCTGGACGTCCACTCAGAGACCCAATTAGAAAATCAGCAACTACTCAGACGACAGGTGGATAAATCCACAAAGACGGGAAGAAACCAGCACAAAAAGGAGGAAAACATCCGAAACCAGAACACCTCGCCTCCTACAAGGGACCACAACTCCTCACCAGCAAGGGAACAAAGCTGGACAGAGAATGAGTGTGATGAAATGACGGAATCAGACTTCAGAAGGTGGGTAATGAGAAACTTCCGTGAGCTAAAAGAACACGTTCTAACTCAATGCAAAGAAACTAAGAACATTGAAAAAAGATTTGAGGAAATGATAACAAGAATGGACAACTTAGAGAGGAATATGAGTGAATTGAAGGAGCTGAAAAACACAACATGAGAACTTTGTGAAGCATGCGCAAGTTTCAACAGCCAAATTGACCAAGCAGAAGAAAGGATATCAGAAGTCAAAGATCAACTCAATGAAATAAAACGAGAAGGCAAGATTAGAGAAAAAAGTGCAAAAAGGAATGAACAAAGTCTCCAAGAAATGTGGGACTATGTGAAGAGACCTAATCTACATTTGATAGGTGTACCTGAATGTGACGAAGAGAATGAATCCAAGCTGGAAAATACTCTTCAGGATATTATCCAGGAAAATTTCCCCAATCTAGCAAGGCAGGCCAATATTCAAGTCCAGGAAATACAGAGAACACCACAAAGATATTCCGCAAGAAGAGCAACCCCAAGGCACATAATCGTCAGATTGACCAGGGTTGAAATGAAGGAGAAAATGCTAAGGGCAGCCAGAGAGAAAGGTCGGGTCACCCACAAAGGGAAGCCCATCAGACTCACAGCAGATCTCTCAGCAGACACTCTACAAGCAAGAAGAGAGTGGGGGCCAATATTCAACATTCTTAAAGAAAAGAACTTTCAACCCAGAATTTCATATCCAGCCAAACTGAGCTTCATAAGTGAAGGAAAAATAAAATCCTTTGCGAACAAGCAAGTACTCAGAGATTTTGTCACCACCAGGCCTGCTTTACAAGAGCTCCTGAAAGAGGCACTACACATAGAAAGGAACAACCAGTACCAGCCATTCCAAAAACATATCAAATGCTAAAGAGCATCAACAAAATGAAGAATCTGCATCAACTAAAGGGCAAAACAGCCAGCTAGCATCAAAATGGCAGTATTAAATTCACACATACCAATATTAATTCTAAATGTAAATGGGCTAAATACACCAATCAAAAGACACAGACTGGCAAATTGGATAAAAAGCCAAAACCCATCAGTGTGCTGTATCCAGGAAACCCATCTCACATGCAAGGACACACAAAGGCTCAAAATAAAGGGATGGAGGAAGATTTACCAAGCAAATGGAGAGCAAAAAAAGCAGGAGTTGCATTTCTCGTCTCTGATAAAATAGACTTTAAAGCAACAAAGATCAAAAGAGACAAAGAAGGACATTACATAATGGTAAAAGGATCGATACAACAAGAAGAGCTAACGATCCTAAATATATATGGGCCCAATATAGGAGCACCCAGGTATATAAGGCAAGGTCTTAATGACTTACAAAGAGACTTAGAGTCCCACACAATAATAGTGGGAGACTTTAACACTCCACTGTCAATATAAGACAGATCAACCAGACAGAAAATTAACAAGGATATCCAGGACTTGAACTCAGACCTGGAACAAGCAAACCTGATAGACATTTACAGAACTCTCCACCCCAAATCCACAGAATATACATTCTTCTCAGCACCACATCACATCTACTCTAAAATTGACCACATAATTGGAAGTAAATCACTCCTCAGCAAATGCAGACCAACTGAAATCATAACAAACAGTCTCTCAGACCATAGTGCAATCAAGTTAGAACTCAGAATTCAGAAACTAACTCAGAACCACACAGCTTCATGGAAACTGAACAACTGGGTCTTGAATGTTGACTGGATAAATGATGAAATGAAGGCAGAAATAAAGAAGTTCTTTGAAACCAGTGAGAAGAAAGACACAACATACCAGAATCTCTGGGACACATTTAAAGCAGTCTCCAGAGGAAAATATATAGCAATAAGTGCCCACATGAGAAGAGTGGAGAGATCCAAAATTGACACTCTATCGTCAAAATTGAAAGAGTTGGAGGAGCAAGATCAAAAAACCTCAAAACCTAGCAGAAGACAAGAAATAACTAAGATCAGAGCAGAACTGAAGGAGACAGAGATACAAAAAACCCTTCAAAAAAAAAAATAAATCCAAGAGCTGGTTTTTTGAAAAGATCAACAAAATAGATAGACCACTAGCCAGACTGATAAAAAAGAAAAGAGAGAATAACAAAATAGATGCAATAAAAAATGATAAAGGGGAAAT